GGACCAGGTATTCTATATGATTGGGTGATCATGGGACCAGGTATTCTATATGATTGAGTGATCATGGGACCAGGTATTCTATATGATTGGGTGATCATGGGACCATGTATTCTATATGATTGGATGATCATGGGACCATGTATTCTATATGATTGGGTGATCATGGGACCATGTACTCTATATAATTGGGTGATCATGGACCAGGTATTCTATATGATTGGGTGATCATGGGACCAGGTAGTCTATATGATTGGGTGATCATGGACCAGTTATCCTATATGATAGTAGTTTAACTGAGAAGTATAGTGGAGAAATTTTTTAGGAATCATTTGAGAACTATGATACGTTTTTACGATGCATATTTATTCTGCAAGAGCGCAAATTCAATCTTTAAAATCCTCAGATATTGATAATTTTTGAGGGAAGATTTTGACAATCAGTTTAAAAAAAATTATTTAATAACGATGACGAAAAATGTAGTAAAATTTCTTCAGTAAACTAATTAGTGGTTTAGGAACAGGTTAAGAAAATGAAATTAGCTATTATCCTCGAAAATTAGTAATCTTATTCAGTTATTGGGTTCTGTAATGTCTCATTGTTCACAAACATTATCTGTAGATTTCCTGAAATTTTTATTGAAAAGACGACATTTGAAGAATTTGAAGAAATCTGCGAATAAATTCATAAAGAATAAGAAATTCAATATAATGATAAAAAAGAAATTATTAATTCTAACATTGATTTAATTGACGTCACTATCAAATAATAAAAAAAAACGATTCTAAAAACGTAACCACCCAAATGGATGATTTTGAACATCGACTCGAACTCAGTATTTATAAATCATTAAAACGTTTAATATGTCTCAAACGAATCGTGAAAAATTTCTCCACAATACTACATTCTCAGTTCAACTACCATACATTACCGGTCACTCCCTTTAATGCAATTACATTGAATGACTAATTAAGAAAAATAGATTTTAAAAATTGATATAATTCTTAATTTCAGGATTTGGGTTTGCCTTCCATCTCTCTGATGCAGGATATGATGTCTGGATGGGAAACTTCAGGTAAAAAATAAAATTTTTTAAAAATTTTTATGCATTAAAGGAACTATACAACGTTCAAAAAGATACGGCCTGTAAATACGGTAGTTTTTAAACGGAGTTTACTTGAAGTTACATTGACAGCTCTTTTTAACATCTTCATATTTACTACTATAAACCTGTGTTTAGAGGGAATAGCTACAGTCATGAACATGTTAACAGTAAATTATCCAGAAAAGAATATTGGACCTTCAGCTGGGACGAAATGGCAAGGTAAGTCTATTTTTTGCTTGATATTGGTAATCCTAAATGATCAAAATAAACTCATAAAAACTGTAAAATTTGTAAAACCGGAAGTTTTGAAAGAACTGGAAATTGGAGGCAACTGGAGGGAAATTAATTATATTGGAGGATTCTCTATCTAGTATCCCTAAAATGGATTGATTAGTGTCCTAAGTTGTTTTAGTATCACTTCGGGGAAGTGAAAAGGATCTGTTGTTATTTTTTCAGAATCCTTGGATCCGATGAAAATTAAAAGTGACCAGCCTTTTTACAGTTCAATAAAGAAAAATGACATGCTATAGTGAGAACTATACAATATGAAGACGACATTTAAACATTCTTGTGTTTATTTGATTATTTTTCCCAGTTCGGAATTCTAATACATAGTTTTGATCAAAAAGGTTGTCAATCTATTTGATTTCGATAATAGGTTACAAAAAATGGGTAAGAATCACTGCACATTACTGTGTTTCATGTTCATTAATCTTTTCAAAATTACAACTTCTAAGTTTAACAGTCGTCCTTGTATTATGGGCCCTCTAAGATCTGGTATTCTAGATACGACCTGCCTACCATGTTAAAGCATATGATGGCTCGGACAGAACAGTCTAGTTTCTATTATATTGGGCATAGCATGGGAACTATATCCTACTACACTGCTTGCAATTATCATTCTTGGATCGGTAAATATTCATTTAACAATAAAAATGCATTCTTAGTTGGGAATTTATGAAAAAAAAGTTAATTGAATTAGGCGAGACTAGTTATAATAATGGGAGTTCAACTTGAATTGTTCAGGTCAGCAGGACTAGTTGAACTACCTGTACCAAGTTGAACTACTTCTAACTATTCTTTTCAATTTTTTAAAATTAGTTAGAATTTTACTGGCCCACTCTTTTTACACGAAATTTTTTTTTTTTTTTTGGAACTACTTTGAGTTTAAAGTTTCCCCCCTGTATTTTTTGGAACTACTTTGAGTTTAAAGTTTCCCCTCTGTATTTTTTGGAACTACTTTGAGTTTAAAGTTTCCCCTCTGTATTTTTTGGAACTACTTTGAGTTTAAAGTTTCCCCTCTGTATTTTTTAGAACTACTTTGAGTTTAAAGTTTCCCCCCTGTATTTTTTGGACCTCTAATAAGGTTTTAAAAATATTTTAAAGAAACATTAATCGGTTTCAAACCCAATTTTTTTTTATAATTTAATAATTTGTTCTAAACCTCCTTTATCGACTGATGCGAACACTCTCTTTAAATATAATAAATATTTTGATATACGATTTGAGGCAATGCAACGAAGTTGATGGTTGGATACGGTCCCCATACAGTTATTCCTCATCTAAGCAGTCCAATATTTGCACTTCTCTCTAGATATGTAGATGATATTCAGGTAACAGATATTTTGTTAAATTGATTATTTTTTGAAATTTAAGGACAAGTGTAAATGCCATAGTTGGGCATGGCTTTGATTTGTGTTTTTAAAAAATCCTTTATAAAGTGGTTGATGGATGAATTATGATTAAATCTGTTTCTTTTAAGTGGTTGATGAATAATTAATTGATCTGTTTCTGTTTTCTGCTCAGTAGTTTATTAATAATGAATTTATCTGTTTCTGTTTACTGCTTCTGTAAATTAGATTATGTTTATCAAATTAATATTTTATGAATTTTTTAAAAAGTAATTAAACTGTGTCTGTTTACTGTTCAGTGGTTAATGATTAATGAATTAATCTGTATCTGTTTACTGTTTAGTGGTTAATGAAAAATGAATTAATCTGTTTCTGTTGATTGTTAGGTGGTTAATGAATAATGAATTAATCTGTTTCTGTTTACTGTTTAATGGTTATTGAATAATTGATTAATCTGTTTCTGTTTACTGTTTAGTGATTAATGAATAATTTATTAATCTGTTTTTGTTTACTGTTTAGTGATTATAATGAATAATTGATTAATCTGTTTCTGTTTATAGTGGTTAATGAATAATGAATTAATCTGTTTCTGTTTACTGTTTAGTGGTTATAATTAATAATGAATTAATCTGTTTCTGTTTATTTTTTAGTGGTTATAAATAATAATGAATTAATCTGTTTCTGTTTACTGTTTAGTGGTTATAATTAATAATGAATTAATCTGTTTCTGTTTACTGTTTAGTGGTTAATGGTTATTGAATACTTGATTAATTTGTTTCTGTTTACTGTTTAGTGATTAATGAATAATTTATTAATCTGTTTCTGTTTACTGTTTAGTGATTAATGAATAATGAATTAATCTGTTTCTGTTTACTGTTTAGTGGTTAATGAATAATGAATTAATCTGTTTCTGTTTACTGTTTAGTGGTTAATGAATAATTAATTAATCTGTTTCTGTTTACTGTTTAGTGGTTAATGAATAATTAATTAATCTGTTTCTGTTTACTGTTTAGTGGTTAATGAATCTGCTCGGTGTTTATGAATTCTTGCCCAGCAATACGTTAATAGAGTGGGCTGCGGCAGAGGTTTGTATATAACATTTTTTCAAAAATCTCTAATAAAGCGTATCTTTTTATTTCTAAAGTCTTTAATAATTTATTTTATTAGATTCAGTAAGTTTAATTTAAAAAAAATCCGTGCGCCATAAGCGTACATTGGTTCCTTTAAAACGTCAATAGATGCTAAAAAAATCACTTTTTCAAAAAATATTGGTAGAAGTTACAATTGTTAATTGTTAAGTTGTGTGCATTGTCTGATTACGACTGATAGTATACTTTAAACTATATAGTGATATAATTTATTAGAATTATCACAAAAAAGGGTTTAAATACATTTTATTCAGAAATGCTATAATGTCGTCTTCCTTTCCACAGTTTTCTGGTCATGACTGTATGATGCACACCCCCATGACCGTGGGACGTGCGCGCTTGTGTGGTTTTTAATAAATATGTTAATGCCTTCTACTTCGCCAAATATATAAAAGTACTATTAAAGGTTAAAGCCTAAACAGGTGAAAAGGCACAAATTGACAAAATTGTTGAAATATATGAAGTTTTCTAGTTCAATGTGAGTTTAAAATTTAACATAGCAAGACTATTTCTTAATTTCAACGTTAGAAAAACTTAGTAAAGCTTTAATACAACTTTTATATCTTTAAAACTTCTTTTGCCAAGTTTTAAGAACCATGATTGGCGAAATTTCATAGAATAAAGGAGAATTGGAAATAGATGGTTGTATTTTCAACAAAATATGATATTTTATTAAGTTTACAGGAACTGTAGACATCTTTTCATGCAATCCTCCATTTGTAAAGTGGCATGTTCGATTCACAACTCTCTCAACTTTCTCTTAAGAAGGTTGTTTGAGATGTCCTCAGAAACAAATATTATTTTGGGGTTCTTCAGAAAAGTACCATGCCACGTGACCATGAAGGGTATATTGTCAAAATGTTTTAAGATCTGAAAACGACAATATCTTCCTCATTGTTTCTTAAAAAAGGATTAAAGGGTACTATTGTTAATCGGATATGTCATGTAGGATCATTACTTGAAATAACGTCTAGGGTCCCTTTAAGGATATTGAAAGTTTTAAAGAAAGTCTGTTCCAATTAAGAAGGTTTAAAAGTTTCTATTCTTGCTTACACAGTATTAAACTCAATAAATACAGAATTACCTACAAAGGAAAATACTTCAAAGACGACTGTAGGGAATTAATATTCATGATTCCATGACTTTTTCAAAATTTATTAGAGTAGGTCACTTCAAAGATTTAATTAATCTCCCAATCCTCACAAAAGCATTTTCAAAGGACTGGATAGTTTCTTAATTACGCATTTTATTTTCAAGGGACTGGATAGTTTCTTNGGACTGGATAGTTTCTAAATTACGCATTTTATTTTCAAAGGACTGCATAGTTTCTAAATTACGCATTTTATTTTGTATTTCCCGAATAGGAGAGCGAATATATCAGGATGATCTTATATTAAGGACGTACTCGTAATGAGGACACACTTATAATGAGGACACACTTATAATAATGACATACATTCTAATAAGGACGCACTTATAATCACTTACAATAACGAAGACGCGTATTTATAGGAAACCCATTTAGGATTTAAAAACATATGACAAACATTATACATCTAAATATACAATTGCATTAATTACATCTCATATTTTAGAATTAATAAAAATCCGAAATAAAATAATTCTGAAATTACAAAGTTGTTCTAAACCTAGGCAAACATTTTTAGGTTTGTGACGAGGACATGCGAGCACAAGCAGTTTGCCGTAGCATCATGTTCCTCATTGCAGGTAGAGATGGGCTGTTACGCGAGCCATGCTGCGTGTGTAAAGTCTGCTTGTCACCCCTG